CCTAGGATTGACCCAAAATAAAATGATAGATGCGCTCCAAAGTTCCCAATTTCTAGTCCAGCTTATTCTCCCAAGGCTATATATATGGCAGCTTCACTGTTCATTTGCCACACTATGGGAACGTCAAACAACAAGACACAGTACACATACAGTTGAACGATCACAAGCCATGACATGGGCCAAGGGAAACCACCAATCACCACCACATGCAGCCGCCACCAAACAACATACTTCTCGGGTATACCACAGCCTATCACTCCTCGTCGCTACGCTGCTTCACTGGTGCCCTCTGTCTAACGGATTGCTCAACAGAATGGGGGACTACTGGTGCCAGGAGATGCACTAAAAGGGAGCTCACCAGACATCATGATCTCCCATCGAGCTTGTGTCATCACAATTTGCAGCACACCACAACGCTACCTATGAGTGAGTATACACATTGTTCCCCATGCTTCCCAGTCCTGTGAAATGTATATGTATTTGCTCTTGCTGGTATGCTGATAATGGATGTATATTGTTTGGTTCAGTAGTGCCAAACAAACAAGTCTGATTTAACATACATCGATGCTGCTATTGTTGGGTTCTTATATATTGTGCCACACAAATTAATGCCTTTTGTAACAATAATGCTATCTACCTATCCTGCAGCATATAGAGATATTACACATGGTACTTTGGCCAATCATCAGTATTTCGCCACTGCATGTAGCCAAGCATTGTCACAAAATATAACAAAGCAAATAGTTATTATTAATACTATTAGGATTGAGTACAAAATCAGAATACGAAACTGCATGCCAAAAGCTCCAATTTGAGATGCAGAGGAGAGAAAAATACCAGGATTATGGTTATCTGCATGCGAATATGCAGCAGCAGTGAGTGTGATATCTTAACAGCTGCTTAATAGAGATGCTATCTATGCTGTGCGCCTACCGGATACAGGATATTTGCCGAGTGTCAGAGGCACTCGGCGAAGTCCCAAAACACTCGCAAAACGACACTCGCAAACGTGTTAATGGTAAACGCGCTAGTTTGCCGAGTGTTTTCTGTTCGGGCACTCGGCGCAAAGAAGTTGCCGAAAGTGCCCAAAAAATATACTCGCAAACTTTTTTTTTCAAAATAAAATAAAAAAAAAGCACGCCGGGAAGAAGGGAGGGCTCCACCACGCCACACCACCACCATCCCCGCCACCACCACCACGCCGGGAAGAAGGGAGGGCCCCACCACACCGCACCACCACCACGCCACCAAAGAAGCCGCCTCCTCGAGCCGCCGCCACAGCCGACGTCGTCATCCGCGACCATCGCTGGCTGCTACTCGCCACGCCACTGAAGTCATGGCGCCCTCGCCGCCGCCACCTCTCATTGGCCACCAGAAGTCATGGTGTCGAGCCTCCACCGCCATGCCATCCACCGACGAGCCTCGCCCAAGCCTATCCCTCGCCAGGCGCAGCGTCGCCTGCCTTCCTCGTGGAGCTGCAACGCCGACGGTAGCACGCCATCGATCTCGCTGCTCCTCCCTCGCCACCACCACCACGCATGTCACCGCCAGATCTGGAGAGGGAGGGCCGAGAGGGGTGGCGCCACGGATTCTGGAGAGGGAGGGCCGGGAGGGGCCGCACCAAGCAGGGAGGACGGGAGGGCGGGCGCGCCGGGAGGGAGGAGGGAGGAGGGCGGCTGGCCCAGCGAGGGAGGAGGGGAGGCAGGCCATGCCAGCGAGGGAGGAGGGAGGTGGGCCGCGGGCGAGGGAGGAGGGAGGGCAGGCTGGGCTGGGCGCCGAGAGGGAGGAGGAGGGCGGGGGCCACGCCAAGCCGCCGAGAGGGAGGAGGGGCGAAGTAAGGCACGCAAGCAGCAGAAGGGAGGGGGAGCTGGGGCGGAGGAGAGAAGGGTGGGGACGGAGGGCGGGTGGGGTGGTGGGCGCGGTTAGGTTAAGTAGATATTTTTAGTTGTATGTCGAGTGTCCTGTATGGGGCACTCGCAAAGTTTTTTTTTAATTTTTTCTTCTCCTACTTTTTTTTTTGCCAAGTGTTTTAGATCTGAGCACTCGGCAAAGTTTTTGTTCATTTTTTTTCTTCTCCTTTTTCAGAAAAAAGATTTTATTTTTTGTTTATCGAGTATTTTTAACACTCGCAAACAACCTGCTTGCCAAGTGTTTTGTTTTGACACTCGCAAAAACGCCCTGTTTGCCGAGTGTTTTTTGTTGAGTGTTTTAGCGCCGCACTCGGCAAATAACTTATTCGCCGAAAGTGCCCATGGAATACACTCGCAAACATAAAAACACTCGGCAAATTTGAGGATTCCGGTGGTCGGAGGTTCAAAATTCTTGACAGCAAGCATTTTTGTTGGTTGGCACAGACACGGTGTTGTATATACATGATGCAAAAAAATTGACATTGGGTTTTTGTAATCACGATATTAGAATTCCACCAGCAGTGTAGTGCAACACTGTATACAGAAAATCGAAGGAGAAAGGAAAACTCTAAAGCAAAAAGGACAGAATAGAATAGAATGAAACCGCAGTAGAGTGAGTTGTTGGGTTGCCAAGTCATTCATGCATGGCCACCTGTTCATTACCTACTAAATTTTGACCCTGTTTCAACGCCCAAAATGTGTTGCAATAGGCCCAAATAGTTGCAACATCGAAATAGCAACACTTTTTTTTCGTTGGGAGGCGCTATGTGCGCTATGCGGTAAAGCTTTGGACAACGCTTTCCGCTTAGCGCTGCAAAATGTGTTTTAGATTTGCAACACCTAGGCGCTGCAACATAAGATTTTTGCTATGGTTGTAGGTGTGGCAACAATAGCTAATGCAACGCCTTAGGCGTTGTTGGACCTTGCAATGGCAACTTGCCTATGTCGTAGCAAATGGTGCACTAGCAACGACAAACGGTGTTGCAAGACAATGTATTGCCACGCATAATGCGAGTGGCAACAAGGATTATCTCGCAGCACCAAGAAGTGATGGCAACATGTGCAATTGCAACGCCCAAGGTTTGGTTTCTATAAGGTGCAGTCTCTATTACATCGCATATCGAGTGTGGAACAAAAACCTATGTGGCAACACCAAGAAGTGGTGGCAACATGTGCAATTGCCACGCTCACATTATCGCTGCTATAAGGTCCAGCCTCTATTGCATTGCATAACGAGTGAGGCAACAAAACCTATGTGGCAACAACAAGAAGTGGTGGCAACATGTGCAATTGCCACGCTCACATTGTCATTGCTATAAGGTGTAGCCTTTTATTGCTACGCAGATTGTTCGTTGCTATAGGATATATTGCTACGTAAAATGTGGTTGTCAATAACCACTTTTACAATTCTTTTGGTTTGGTGCCACCGGATAATATTACAGCACTATTATTTAATTAGAAACTCAATAGACATCAACAAAGCATTTGAATAATGCCATTAAACCAAAATATTAACTTGTTTAATTTGTTCACATCCGGAATTAAACGATCCAAAATTCAAACTCATGCTACACACACATTATTGAAACCATCCTCAATAAAGTAATTCGACACATTTATGTCTAAATAACATCTAAAGTGGTTAGACACCACTAAAGGTCGGCTTAAGCTTGATTGAATTGACCATCCCATCACTTGAGCGCTCCACTCAAACTCTATCTTCCTGCTCAATAAAATCATTGACATTGACATATGCATCAGCTTGTTCAAGACATCACGATAGTAAACTAAACCACAATATGATAAGGCTATGTAATAAATTTTCAGCAATTAGTTAAACTGAAATTGGAGGTGTTGACAACAAAAGCATGGACTAAATCGCTTCAACTTTAAGCAATAAAGAAATATGAGGTGTTCACAACAATAACACAGTCACAACGATTAAGAACGTGTTCACAAACAAAGAAAATAAAAAGGCACAAGTTATCCAGAACCATTGATAATGTTTTAAAGGCACATTTCGTGTGCCTCTCTCTAGCATGATCTGCCTGCCCAACTAACATGTATATGTTTGTGCTTCATTAAAGTGACTAACAAGCTGCCCTAATATTCTGGTGGTAAAGGATTGTAAGTCACGCTCCTTAGGAGAGTTTCTCCGATAATGTTCTTTAATGGATACTAGATCTTACTGCCAGCAACAGGTAGCTTTTGTGGTCTTCAAAGTTTTGTATGGGGAAGGTGTTTGCAGGTATCCCTTTCCCTTGCTATCTGTTAGTGTGAGCTCAATCTCTAGCATGCGCTAAACGAACGGAGGAATAAGACGAGTAGAGGTTGGTCTTTATGTACTCTCTTATTTTTCTTAGAGGCTGTTTTGTGCCAAGTTATCATTTTATACTCTCTATTATATATTGTTTCTCTTGATGAATATCAAATATGAGGCACCTTTTGAGTATCTTTATTAAAAAAACTTGAAGGAAAAATCACCTTTAATAACTCCTACTGAATCAAAGACACAAAGTACTTCACCCGTGCTGAACTGAACTGGTTTATTATTACTAGCCTAACACTGATGGCAAAGTATTCCTATTGGTGTGGAACCAACCGAAAGAAAAATTACAAATCACAAAACCACACAGAGCAATGACAAAATTCATGTGTAGAAATGACATAATGATTTTGACCTGACACTCTTTTCTTTATCTACTACTGAATTATTGTTGCTGTCAAGCTTTCATACTTCACTACAGTGCGGTTTCTATCCATAGCTGTGTCATTTGAATAGTCCAACGTTTGGTCATGTCATGTGCCATCCTTTTCTTGCATGTCACATTGATGGTTGTCCCACATTTATTTCCCAGACAGAGATGCTATCTATAATACTTTTCAAAGATAAAATATTTTCAGTCATTTGAATAGAAAAAAATGTAGTAATCATTTAAAATTTTGACCAGGTTCCTGTTGATGATTGGGCTACTACTGCAGATATTCATGCCTTATTTAACGACTTCCACCCCCACAGGATGGAAGGCGCACCAGGCAGCCACGGCAAAGTGCAGACAAACCACAATACAACCATCACCTTGCTGAAGAATGAAGATCCATAAGATGATTCCCAGCCTATGTACATGGCAGATCTCCATGCTCACTCTTATCACCAATATCCTCTTTGTTACATCCACCTCTCCATCTCCTAACCCTAGCCACCATGATCTCTTGGCGCTCTTATCCCTCAAATCCCACATAACAAGTGATGCACTGTCGTCATGGGATGCAGCAAGCAACGACACCAGCAAACCAGTTCCTAATTTCTGCAAATGGACTGGTGTGACTCATGGCGACCGTCGCCACCCTGGCCATGTCACTGCCATAGATCTGCATGGCTATGGCCTTGGAGGCACCATCTCTCAAGACATCGGCAACCTCACATACCTCCACTTCATTGATCTGTCGTCCAATAATCTGGTAGGTGATATTCCCTCCAGCCTTGGCAATTGCAGAAGACTTCGTACTATGAATTTGAGCAGTAACCACTTGTCTGGTTCTGTCCCTACTCCTCTGGGTCACCTATCAAAGCTCAAAATTTTCAATGTCAACTACAACAATCTGACTGGCGAAATTCTCACGACACTATTTAATGTCACAACGCTAATGTTCCTTAGAATTGGGGGAAACTCCTTTCAGGGCCAAATCCCCAGCTGGTTGAGCAACCTAACATCATTGACTGATTTGTATCTTGTGAATAACAACTTCAGTGGCAACATCCCTGCAGATTTATGTAAGTTAAGTAACCTCACGGGGTTTGATGTAATGAATAACAAGCTTGACGGCCCTGTTCCTCCATCACTCTTCAATATTTCGTCCATCACTATCTTAGGTCTTGCCAAGAACCAGCTTACAGGATCACTGCCACTTGATATTGGCTTTAAGCTTCCCAAGCTATATGCTTTGGTCACATATAACAATTACTTTGAGGGTCCAATACCAGCCTCCTTATCAAATGCATCTGAACTCCAATATCTGATTCTTCGTGGAAACCAATATCATGGTTTTATCCCATGGGAGATTGGTATTCATGGTAAATTGAAGTTTTTTCGTAGGCCACAATGAACTACAAACCACAAAGCCTACGGATTGGGAGTTTATCACATCCATAACCAACTGTAGCAACTTGAAAAGAATAGACCTCGAACAAAACAACTTTTCAGGTGTTATGCCAAGTTAGTATCGCCAACCTATCTCGAAAACTCGAGTGGCTTACAATTGGCACAAATCACATAGCCGGGACCATATCTTGGGTAGGGATGTTCCAAACCCTTACAAAGCTTACCCTTGAGGATAACCTATTTACAGGCACCTTACCTATATAGATATTGGCAAGCTCTCTAGTCTCGAGATTCTTTATGAGTCATAATGGATTTGAAGGGCAGATTCCACAATCAATAGGCAATCTCACAGTACTGGATAAGCTTTCTCTATCTAATAACTTTATGAACAACAGCATTCCGCCAAGCCTTGGAAAATTATCGAATATTGAATCCATGGATCTTTCTTGTAACCTGTTGATGTGCCAAATCCCGGATGGGTAAATGATGACTATGGTAATGACGATTTCCACGAGGATTACTAGACTTGTGGTCAACCAAATTGACGCCCCTCGTGATATGAAGCTTCCGCATGAGATCTTTTCTTATACTTCCGCCTATTTATGTAAAGACTCTATCATATTATTCATGATGTAATAAACACTTGTGATGATACTATTCATAATTTGTCGGCTTATGTGTGTGACTGATCTCTGGGTGCACATAAGATTTTGCATCCCATTTTAACCTTAAAATCGGGTGTGACATGCTTCTTCCTTTCCTCTTCTCGTCTGTAGTGCTATGAAAAATCTGCTATACATAATTTGGAAAATTAGAAGCAAGCACAATGGCAACGTAGTTTTTATGCTACAATAAAAAGGGAGAAGGGTATGCTACAATACCTTCATTATCACATAAGAAATCTCCAATTGGTTCATATTCCAAATCTTCTTCAATTTGTTCACAATCCAAATCCTCTTCTTCAATTTGTTCATTCACATTCATGCACGGTTTGTTTGTGGCCTAGGGCGCAAATTATGATCATGGGTTTCTCCATCATTTGTCTTATGAGTTCTCTACAAGGAAGTAACATGATTTATGTAAATAGTTCTTATTAAATAAGCAAAGACATTGCAACAGAACAATTTATATAAGAGATGACCTTTTGTTCTTTTCTTAGCTTGAGGTTGAGGATTAGGCGGAGTAGGGATGTTTAAGGAAATAAACTTCTCTTGATCTGTGCAATGTTTTGAAGCCTCAGCAGCTCACACTTGGTAAGGGGGGGGCATCCTTACTGCTTCCTCTTCCGCTTGCCATTTGTTTTCCTGAAAAAGGCCCAACAATTAGTTCTATACAAAGGATCAATAAAAAGATCAATAACATAATTATAGCAGCAACACCATTTAAACAAAACTTACTTTCTAAATTGTTTCTTAGTTTTTTGGTATCAACAATTGTACCATCTATGTCAGTTCTAACTCAAGGGACCACCCCATTTACAATATCCACAAATACATCTGCACTTAGATCATGCAATGGCCATACTGATCCAATATCATTATCTGTGTGCTCATTCTCTAAATTATCTAAGTCATACACATCTCTTGGTTTTGACTGAACAACAGCGGACCAATCATTATCATCTGGAACATAGTACACTTGAATTACTTGTGATGCTAGAATGAAAGGCTCATCAGATATCTTTTCTCCTGTATTGAATAAGTGCTTAAAGTTAACAAATGTGATCCCAAATTTATCAGTTTTTACCCATTTGTCCTGCACATGGTTGTCAACCCAATCACACTTGAAAAGCACAACACTTCCTTTATGGCTATAATTTAGTTCAAGAATCTCGTAAATAATCCCATAATAGATATTGTTTCTTATTATAACATCATTGTTATTGCCCCCCTCAAAGGTTGTTGCCTCAGCAACTACAGCAACCCCACTATTTTGAATAGGTCTTCCCTCATCATAGGATTCTCGTGGAAACAGAACCCATTAATATTGTAGCTGATGTACTTATGCAGTATTCATCATTGGCCCCTTGGCCAAAATTTTGATCTCCTCTATTGCTTCCTCACATATTTCTTCCACCCGTGATTATGATAGACTACTATTATTAAAGTAAATGTGTCATTTGTCTCAATATCAAGGGCTAAGTTTTACTTTCACTTACAAGCAACCTAAACCACTCATGAAAGGATTCATGATGCATGCGGTTGATCTCCCATTTATTTCAAAAGCCAATAGAGGAAAGGTACTGAGCATGCTTACTGCAAAGGTTATTTGACTTTAAGATTGGTTACAAAATTGATGATATGATGTAAGTGATTTGGATTACTTACTCCAAGTATGGTACTATGTTGCCATAGTTGAACAAAACATATGTATGAGCTTGCATCCAAGTCTTGTGGTCTAAACTAAATGTGCATTTTCCAAGTCAATCCTAGACCAATGCTATGGAAGAAAGGAGTTGTACTATCATCTTCATCTTTTCTAATTTGGTGGTACAATTGTGTGTCACCATGTAGATAGCGAGAACAAAGTGTAAGGCACTCGGTGAAATTAGACCACTCCATAATTGATCCCTCAGATGACTTTTTGTATGTATAGAACCCTTCAATCTCATGAGAAACCTGTATACATAAATAATAGGCACATTGATAATGTTATACATGGAATAGGTACACATTTGTATCCACTAAGATGCAATACAAAGCTATGATAGTTACCTCTCTACAGCCACATGTCATGCTAAAATGGACTGACCAGCTATTTGAGCTTGGGTAGGAAGATGTACCATCAAGTGTACCATAATGCCAAAAAAAAGATGGAAGGAATATAGTCTCAAGAAGGCTCAAGGTTTCAGCTATTTCAGCCTGCAGACTTTCCATATCACTTATTGGAATGATAGGGGCACAAAGTTTCTTGAAGAAATTACATATACGAATCAATCAAGCAATCGACTATTTCTCGGTAATATTTTTCTCACAAAGAATTGGTAGCAAGTGTTGCAGAATAATGTAGCTCTCATGACTCTTGAGCTAAAATATCTTCCTCTCATTCACATGTACATTATGTCTTATATTAGATGCATAACCATCAGGAAACTTCACCCCTTTTAGTACTTGGCAAAATAATTTCATCTCATCAGGACTCATTGAGTATGGTGCAGGTGGTAAATAAAATTGGTCCTCTACTTCAAATGGGTGAAGATCACTTCTAATACCTTGAGCTTGAAAGTCTAAGCAAGAGTTCAGGTTATCCTTTGATTTTCCAATAGTGCCCATGAATGTGTTCAGTAAGCTTTCATAGACATTTTTGCCTATGTGCATGAAGTCAAAATTATGTCTCAACATCAAATCTTTCCAATATGGAAGTTTGAACCAAATAGATCTTCTCTTGAAAATGACTAATGGTTCACCTTCCTTGTGTTTCTTGCATGTTGGTTTCTTTCCGGATGGATCCTTGCCAAAACTAGTGCTAAGATTTTTAGTGCACTCCAAAATTTCCTCCCCATTAAGTGGTGCAAAATTGTTTGGCGAAACTCAGTTCTACCACCAAATTTATCGGCATCACACCTAAATTTGTAATTTTCATCCAAGAATCTTTGATGACCCATATAACAAGTCTTGGTACCATTACCAAGTCTAAACAAATCTATAAAGAAGTGGCAATTAGGACATGCTACTTCACCAGATGTGACATATCCCGACACATATCCTAGACCAGGGAAATCGGTAATAGTCCACAATATTGCTGCCCAGAATTGGAAGTACTCACCCCTCGAGGCATCATAAGTTCTAACACCATTTTCAAACATATCTAACAAGTCATTAACAAGTGGCTCACAATAGAGATTCATATCACTACCGGACCATCTTTACCAGTGTATCGTAAAAGACAAAATGAAATTTGATTGCTTCATGCACATTGAAGGTGGAAAATTTAAGGAATACAGATACTAAGCCAAATGTTGTAGCTAACATTCTGCATTCTATATGGATTAAAACCATCGGTGGCGAATGCTAGACGGATATTCCGACTATCTCGCAGCTTAATCGTGGATGTTTCTTATCAAAGTCATCCCATAGAGGTGAATCTACAGGATGTCTTAGGAGACCATCTTTTTCGGTCTTCATCATGCCATCTTGTTAGACTTGCTGTTTTAGGACAAAATAACCTTTGAGACATTTCTTTATTGAAAAGTAGCGTAGAACCTTCTTAGGAACCTTATATATATGTTTCCCATCTAGAGACTTTCTATCGACTTCCACCGTGAAACCTTACACTTTGGACATGCATCCAAATCCACGCTCCCCTTCCAATAGAGAATGCAATTATTTTTCATAGGCATGAATACTAATATACCCAATTTCTATGGTTTTCACCAATTTCTTAGCCTCATGAAAGGTTTTAGCTAGTGTTGAACCCTCGTGGAGCGCAACATTAAGTAGATCTAGTAGCAGTTGAAAGATTTGTCGACCATCCTCCAAAGAGTTTGATGTGGAGTAATCTAATAATAAATCGAAGTTGTGTATATTTCTTGCAAATAGGGTACAATTCTTTGTCTGTTTTCTATGACTAACTTCTGAATGGCAACTAGCTCCTCACAAGGATCTCGAATAGAACTATTTTCCTCATAATCTCCCTATCATCTAAGCCAGCAGCCTAAGTCTCTAAGCAAATCAGATATGTCATCATGTACATTGGACTCGTCCCACAACCTCAACATCATCACCATCAAAGTCTCCATGATTCACACAAGGGGTAGGTTCTCAATGTAAATTCCATGTTCTATACCCTTTTAGAAACCCATCACATATCAAATGTTCACGGACCTCACTAGCCTCTTTCCAAAAAGAGTTGACACACTTTCTACATGGGCATAATATCTTTCTACCAACAAATGAGTTACTAAATGCAAAAGCTAACAAATTGTTCACTCCTTGCAAATATGTCTTGCCGTGCCTACATGAAACCTTTATGTTAAAAGCCATTTTACATAGCTACATATACCACTTTCAAAGATTTGTGAAGCTATTATTTTTACCTAGCATCATCATCACCCAAGATTTATCCATCAACATTATAAGGGCGAGAACAAAAAGCTGTCCAAATTATATAATCCATCTATGAAATTTGGGGTACCACAAAATAATGCATACAGACTAGAGAGGGAGAGCATCACCTGGTCCTCTTGCTTTAAATCCACACACACAATGACTTCTTCCAGCTCCTGCCCACCACACAACAATGACTCGCTTGTCGTGACACCAGATCTTGACTCCTGGTTCCATCAGGACGATACCTCCCAGATCTTGACTCTTGGCTTCAGCACAATCACACCTCGCAGCTCCTACTCCTTCCTGTAAGGTGTTGTCGCTTTCAGATTTTATCGAGAAGTCCCAACTGTTACAAAAAAGGGACTCCAAAGCATCAGACACTACATCAACACAACAAAATATTTATTCAGCATAGAGGAATTCTCTGAATCTAGAGCAACAGAGAACAAAAAAACAAGAGAGCAAGGTCGTCGACTTATTGATATGTGGTTGCTGCCTGTATACGTGGATGGGGGCTTGGGAAAGGAGTCGCGAATCATGGGAGGAGCTGTTTGTTGAAGCAGAGAAAGGCCGCCTGGGCACTAGGGGCTGTGCGCGGCTGGAGGGTCGCCGAGGGGCAGCGTGGGGGCTGCCTCAGGGGCGCCTGGACGGGAGGTGCGTGGGGGCGTTGGGGAGCCGCCGAGGCCGTGCTGTGGAGCCGCCAGGGGATGGGGCGCGCGGGAACCACTGGGTTGTACTGGGTCGCCGGGAGCCACCGGGGCACGCGCGTGGGGAGCCGAGGAGTCACTGGGCTGCGGCGTGGGGCGCCAGGAGCCGCTGGGTGGGATACGCCAGGCGTTGGGAGTCCGCTACTGGGAGCTGCCAGAATCTGTCAAGGCCATGGCAGGTGAAAGCGGGAAATGATTTGGACAGAGAGTGTGGCGGGGGAGGAAAAAATTGAGAGGCAGTGAGGGTTTTCCCAAATATGATCTCGACAGTGGGGTCCGCTAAATTTTAGGCGCCAATTGAAGTAGAGAGCGGCGGCAACTCTGCTGGCCATCTAAACTTTAGGCGCGAATCGGCCTAAGCATGGGCGCGCAGGCCCAATCCAATGTGCCGACCGACCGGCGGACCTAGTTAACACGATTTACCAACCGACCGTTGGACTATCGATCGGTATAGATTAGTGAGATACGGTTGGTCGCTATATTTTATTTTTTCGTCCGAGGGTTGGTCAGTATTTTTGTTTTTGTTTACCCATGTCCAACGCCAGTTTGGGCTGTGGGATAGTGTGTCTGCGGAATTACATGGTATATTTTAATGTAATATGTAAAACATGCTTCATCGGAGCAATGCGACAAGCAACGTACCGGACTGTAGATTGTGGATATTATGTCTAAGGGTACATGAATGTCACTTGGCGATATTCAAGACACCCTAAAAATGTAAGTAACTAATAGGTCGTCATCTCGCCATGTAATAAGTCAGCAGCACAAGCACGTTATTGTTCTTCGAAACATCCATTCTAAACTATGTTTTCTTGTAGAGGCGTTGAAATTGGTGCAATTTAATTAATGTATATACACACATGTGAAATGGGCGATATATACACACATGCATAATTTAAATGTGTAATTATTATTTGAAATATGAACTTTGAATACTGGCGCTTAAAGATTTGTAGAGGCAGTTGTAAAAACACAGCCGACTTTAGAAATTGTTTTCTAAAGGCGGTTAGGAACAACATCCGCTTCTGAAAAAAAAAAATTATTTGTAGACAAATCCATTTTTAGAGAGAGCTCTTGTTCCGAGCTGCCTCTAGAAATTGTTATGGCAGCTACCTCTATAGAGGCTTCCTAGACGCCTCTAAAAGCTTTTCAGTAGTAGTTTGTGGCTCTTATGTGGTAGGGTTGGGGTCGGGTATGAGATATGTCTCTAATCACATTGGCTTGGTAGAGAGAATTACGCTAATAGCAATATATAAAAGGCAAATTAAAGAGATTTGTTTGAGAAAAATGGATCATTATCTTGGTGAGTTTTTCCATTTTATGAGGAAAACCATTTCTTTGCTTGGTTGCAAAACATATGTTTTGTGATGCATCCTGCTGGAGTGAGCCTTTTCCTCGACATCATGATTAAATGCTATCAGGTTATTCCCTGTGGTTCTTTAGCAGCAATTAAATGATATTTGAGCACTATCTAGCCTATCAACAATCCTCATGGTGTATGTCTGGAATGCTTTTCTTGTGATCGAATGCATTTAAGAAGTAAGAAATATGTTTCGACAGTTACTTAGGCATCATCATTATATTTGTGTAGTAATAAATTCTTGCCATAATATAATGTTACGATTAGGAAATTTATAATTAATGTAATTAAACACAATTTGACCATTGTCTAACCTATCACACAATGCTCATGACGTATAAGGAATGTTTTCTTGTGGTTGATGCATTAATTTATGAAGGAAAAATCCTTAGCTATAAGTAGGAAAAATATATACACACGCTTTATTTGGCAGTGAGTTAATGCTATCCATAAATCATGGTATGAGTAGGTCATTCCTTGCCTCTATAAGTTGCTCTAGACCCCTCCTTGAAACATATATAAACTGCCCCTCTCCTCATTTCATTTCAACACCAAAGCAAACCATTTCCTTATGTTTATATAATCCTACTAGTAGTTGCTGAGCTAGGATATTGCTAGGGTGCTATGGCACGCAAGAAGGTGAATCTCCAGTGGATCTCCAACAATGCTACTCGGCGTGCGACGTATAAGAGACGCTCCCAGGGCCTGGAGAAAAATGCTAGTGAGCTCACCACACTCTGTGGTGCTATGGCCAGGGCGAGGCTCAGCCAAAGGTGTGGCCCTCTGATGAAGAGGCCAAGGAACTCCTCATGAAATTCAACAGCACGCTAGATGTCAGTAGCCTCAAGAAGACAAAGAACCAAGAGGAGTTCCTCCACAGTCGCTCCTTGAAGCTCCATGAGCAGGTAAGCAAGTTGGACCTTGAAAATCGCGAGCGTGAGACCTTGGACCTCCTCCATGATAGCATGTATGGAGGACGCCTGGGCCTCGTTGGCACTGACAAAGACAAGCTCCTTAGCCTTAGGGATATGGTGGAGTTGAAGATGAGAAAATCAAAGCACGGCTCCAGCAGCTTGTGGTCGGGGAGCGAGTCCTCCCACAGCCATTGCCGCAGGTGATGCTGCCAGCGTCATCCTCGTTGCAGACACAAGCTTCTTGCTACACCTACAATGAGATGCAAAGCATGGCAGTACTAGAGGAACACCGTCCCTTGCAGCAGAACTGGAGACTTGCAAACCTAGCCCCAAACTACAGTCCCTTCGCAGGTTGTAGCAGTGAGCCTAGTAGCAGTGGGTGTGAAATGATGCACCCTTACAATCTGGGTGCCTGTTCAGGGCTCCCATCGGCACAGTAGGGAAACTCATCCCATAGTACATGGCTAGATCTTATATGTTTTCATTGCATTTTGCATGTTGCTCTTAGGGTCCTATCTTAGAGTCACTCGTTGCATCCCATGTCTTGTGCTTAGCTCAGTGGCACAAGTTATCTTTCATGTTGTTTTGCATTTAACAATATGTATGCTTGAATCCGTGTACCCCTTTCAGTCATTTAGATCAATGATATTAATGGATGTTGTTATATTGTGTGGTGTTGCTACTTTATTTACACATATCCAAGATACATACCATGATACTGAGAGTCTACAAAGTATGAGATGTTTTGTGTGTGATGCACGTGGACTACCCGGCACTTCCTGTAGTAGCTGGCAGTAGTAGCAGACCCAAGACTGAAATGAAGCCAAGGCGAGACTTAAGACACTGATTAGGTCATGTGATTTGAAGCTTCCGACTACGAATGCTGCGATGAAGGACTAAGCATGTGCCGATGCCGGAGCCCAAGCAGGCGCCCAGGGTCGCTGGGCCCTGGGTCCACCACTGTCTGGTAGTGATTTTGTTTCTGTTGAGGGTACAGTTGTGATGCCTATGGGTGCCACTCCTTTTGCTTGAGGCATCGCATTTGGCCCCTGCTCTTCTTCACTGCACATCCTGCCAGGGTGTGGATCTCCTAGGTGAAAACCCTGCACCATTCAATCGATCCACGACATCCTTGGATGTTGTTTCCTCCTTGGAGGTGTCCGTTTGGAGAGACCATTGATATTGCCCACAATTGTCTTCTCCCGGCGGTGTTTTGTGTGTGCACAGGGATGTTCTAGTTTGTTCGGGCTTTGTGGGAAGAATCTCAAGTGTGGCTCATAATCATCTGGTCAGCTGTATCAGTCATTGCTGGTCAAGTGCTACTTGGTGGTTGGTTGGCGGATGGCAGAGGACAGTTAGTGGACTTTGGTGACATGTGAGATGCTTTAGATTCATTGTTCATCAGCTTGTTTTGCAGGAGGACGATAGAGTTTTTGTGGACTTCCACAATCTCACTTCATATACAAGAGAATAGGTGGAAGTGGAACCGCATCCAGCTTTCCCTATAGGTGGATAGTAGATTGATGGGTGGTTTGAGTTATATGCTCAGTCTGCGATTCTAAATTTGCTTAGAGCCTAGTTGGTCACATTCATATTTCTTTAAACTACAATTATTTTTGTCGATTAGTACATGCTTTTTTATTCGTATGAAGCTCGAGAGAGCTTTGTTAACTAGGAATGAATGCTATATATTGTAATCATTTGTATGATGTCCCAAAAATGCACGGTGACGCTGGCCTCAGCCACGCCACCTTATGAATGGTTTTCATAGCTTGCAGAGCTAACTCATTTCACTACTGTGGTCAAGTAATTGGCTTTAAATCTATACTCTATACCCAACTTTCTGTGGTCGCCACACAAACACATCTTCTCAAAGTGGATCCAGCTAACTACACGGTCGTACAAACATGGCTTTCATTCACTTTCTGATAGGGGCGACTGATTGACCACATGAACATATTACTTCTATATGACATCTTTTTTCTCTGCCATTGAATTCCTGATGGAAAGTGATGGTTTTTTTTCTTTCCTGTCGAAATCATATGGAGTGATATCTCGCTAAAGCTAAGGTCCAGTGAACTCTAACCCGTCCTGGTTGAATACCACATCTCCGTCGCTGCATCTTTCGATGACTAAAGCTGTAAAGCCCATCTCCTTGTCTACCAATGGCACGCAGGTGAGAAATTAATGGTCATTATCAGGCGTAATTCAAATTTTGGTGTTGAATTCAAATTAATGCTTTAGTAGGTCCCGTCTCCACAAAAAAGAGTTTAGCTTCTATTCACTACTACAAAATAGTTTTTACGCCTATGATATTTTCACCGCCGGTTTTATTAAAACCATAGGTGGTAACTGATAACATATCACCACCCATTCGTAATAAAATTGGCAATGAAAATCATTTTCATGGTCGGTTCTGGAGAAAGACCATTGATGAAAAATATCCTTACTTTCACCACTGATTCGGTACAGGGACCAGCGGTAAAAATCTAGCCTCACGAGGGTGTGCCTCTCTCTAGCATGATCTGCCTGCCCAACTAACATGTATATGTTTGTGCTTCCTTAAAGTGTCTAACAAGCGGCCCCAATATTCTGGTGGTAAAGGATTATAAGTCTACGTTCCTTAGGAGAGTTTCTTCAGATAATGTTCTTTAATGGATACTAGATCTTACCGCCAGCTACATGTAGCTTTTGTGGTCTTCAAAGTTTTGTATAGGGAAGGTGTTTGCAGGTATCCTTTCCTTGCTATCAGTTAGTGTGAGCTCAATCTCTAGCATGCGCTAAACGAACGAAGGAATAAGATGAGTAGAGGTTGCTCTTTATGTACTCTCTTATTTTTATTAGAGGCTGTTTTGTGCCAAGTTATCATTTTATACTCTCTATTATATATTGTTTCTCTTGATGAATATTGTGGGGGATATACCCCCGGGTACCACAAGATGGTACATGGGCCGCACCATCCGAGGTGTCCCGGCCTGTAAGATCGAGGCGTGCACGGCAAGATTACAAGTTGTACTAGATATTGTAATAGTACCAAATATGATACTTTACTTGTAACCCTCCTCCTCCTTAGCATACAAGGAGAGGCAGGGGTCCCCCTCAGGGATCACCTCAATCAATACAGTAATAACGGGACACGTGACGTAGGTATTACGCCAACACGGCGGCAAACTGTATAAATCTTGTGTCTTGTGCCCTCTATAACCATCTGGTTCCTGACATATCGCACTGCTCTACCGACAATCTACCATCATGGGCATACCCCTAGATGGACTGCCGACCATATTTCGTCGACGGCTGGCGCGCCGCTGTAGGGGTCCCTTTAGGGTCGTGGCGTATGATCCTTCGCAAGCCGATGGGAAATTTCTCTTAACATCTCGCTAAAAATCGGGTGAGTCGTTCTTAGCAACGTTGTTGATTAGATCAATCTGTTCTTCAATGTCTAATACAGATTAATTGTTTCGCATGTGCCAATCCGCCTCTCTCATCCGCGATCCGATTCATCTTCATCGCCGGCAGCGGCGTTTTTTCTTTCATGTCACATGCGATCGCACGAGGAGACGGGCCGACGCCACACGCACATGTCCACGGTGGACCGTGGTTATCAAGGTCGACGATTAGCGGCCGGGCTTCGGATCTCGTGGCCACTTCACGCTGGACAGCCAGATCGGCGCACTGTTTCGGGTTCTCACGTTGTTCGTGCAAGCGACGAACTCCTATTCCTATGATTAGCAAGACAACGAGCTGGAACCAAGCAACTACGTGAGTCGTACAAGCTATCTGGCGAGCCACGTCGAGAGCCATCAAGCCGCTGAGCGAGCCGCATCGAGCCGTCTAGCGAGCCATGTCGGGCCAAGCGGGCCGATTGAGCAAGCCGCCCAAGCTCACGCGTACGACCACGGACCACGCCCGAGAGCGGCTCCGCCGATCTCACGTCGACCACGCACCCACGTCGACCACGTCCTGAGCGGCTCCGCCGAGCTCACGTCGACCACGGACCACGTCGACCACGTCCCGAGCGGCTCCGCCGAGCTCACGTCGACCATGGACCACGTCGACCACGTCCCGAGTGGCTCCACCGAGCTCACGTCGACCACGTCCCAAGCGGCTCCGCCGAGCTCCGACCACGCCGACCATAGACCACGCCAACCACGCCCCGAGTGGCTCCACCTAACTCCGACCACGCTGACCACCGACCACATCGCAATGATGATCGCGCCAAGAACGGGCGCTTTATTAACCGCGACCACCGTCATGACAATTTCATCACCGCCGACCAGATTTCTATCCAAAGATAAGTACACTTCTAATATTTATATTTAATATATTTTTCATTACGACGCTTTCTCCATAACATTCTCGTCATGATTATTCTTTAAATAATGTTTGTCCATGTATACCATCTTAAATATAACATATAGCTATACTTTTCATGCAAATCCTCGACCAAATCATGTTGACGCCGATGTCTCCGCAGAATGGCCTGCCTCTCCGGCTCCTCCCTACACGCACGGCACGCCCGCCCCTCTGCGCTATGGGTGGTCGACAATGCTCCTTAGCGACGCTTTGTTCTTCCTACACGCAGACGGGCTCCGTGCCCTGCGTTATGGTTAACGGGCTAGCTAGGGATGGAGACTCACCTACACACTAACTGGTCGGACAGTTTTATATTAAGTATAAATACAAACTTCACATTAACACTGATGTTTACAAAGCACCAACCGCTTTTATCACATCATGCTCATTTGCAAATGACTACTGAGCGTCATACGCTATTTCTTCACCGCTGATTTTCTCTCCATAATTTATTACTTTGTACATCATGTACTACCATTCTACATATTTATATTGCAGGAATTTCGAGCTACGCATGGGGACTTCTGCCGCCGCTCCTCGACCTGTTAACGGGACCTGCTCGACACTCTCCCGACCACAGCTGGGGACTTCGTCGCTCGCCCTTGACTTGTGCTCGGGGACCGCCTCAACCACTCTCCCGACCACAGCTTGGGGACTTCTGGCGCTCGCTCCCTCTACACCTGTGCTCGGGGACCTGCCTCGACCACTCTCGACCACAGGTTGGGGACTTCGTCGCCGCCTCCTCGACCAGTGCTTGGGGACCGCCTCGATCACTCTCGACTACAGCTCGAGGACTTCATCGCCGCTCCTTAACTTGTGCTCGGGGACTGCCTCGACCACTCTCCGATCACACAGCTGGGACTTTCATGTCTCGACTACATGCGAATGGCGACTCGCATATAGTTGGGATATTTTTTCTCCTTTAGACCTTGCTACGAGGCTCATACCTCTCCTTCCAGCAAGCTCGGGGACTACATCGGTACGATGCACCTGATGGTGCATGCCGTATCTAATTAACAAGACTTTTTAGACCACGCACCACGTGCCTTCCACGTCACCTACTACCGTGCTCGGGGATTAAGTGGGCACACTTCACCTTGCGGTGAATGTGCTTTTTTTGACCCCACGCCTCGATGATAAAAACGCCACGCTTCAAGACACCCTTTACGCTTTCTTCACGAAACCCAAGTGGGCACACTTCCCGGGACGGAAATCTTTTTCTTTCTTCTTAAGAGCACCATACATTCTTCGGACAACCTACTTCTCCCCGCGACAACGGTGGTCGAGATGCCAAGAACTCAAGCCTCACTGTTCAAGAAGGTTAAAATGGCGTGTCGCATCGTAATACATGGCGCGCGGGGACTAGCCGTGGGGGATATACCCCCGGGTACCACAAGATGGTACATGGGCCGCACCATCCGAGGTGGCCCAACCCATAAGATCGAGGCGTGCACGGCAAGATTACAAGTTGTACTAGATATTGTAATAGTACCAAATATGATACTTTACTTGTAACCTCCTCCTCCTCGAGTATACAAGGAGAGGCAGGGGTCCCCTCGTGGATCACCTCAATCAATACAGTAATAACGGGACACGGGACGTTAGGTATTACGCCAACACGGCGGCCGAACCTGTATAAATCTTGTGTCTTGTGCCCTCTGTAACCATCTGGTTCCTGATTACACGCACCGTCTACCGACAATCTACCATCGTGGACATACCACTAGATAGACTGCCGATCATATTTCGTCGACAAATATCAAATATGAGGCACCTTTTGAGTATCTTTATTAAAAAAACTTGAAGGAAAAATCACCTTTAATAGCTCCTACTGAATCAAAGACACAAAGTACTTCACCCGTGCTGAACTGAACTGGTTTATTATTACTAGCCTAACACTGATGGCAAAGTATTCCTATCGGTGTGGAACCAACCGAAAGAAAATTACAAATCACAAACCACACAGAGGAATGACAAAATTCATGTGTAGAAATGCCATAATGATTTTGACCTGACACTCTTTTCTTATCTACTACTGAATTATTGCTGCTGTCAAGCTTTCATACTTCACTACAGTGCGATTTCTATCTATAGCTGTGTCATTTGAATAGTCCAACGTTTGGTCATGTCATGTGCCATCCTTTTCTTGCATGTCACATTGATGGTTGTCCCACATTTATTTCCCAGACAGAGATGCTATCTATAATACTTTTCAAAGATAAAATATTTTCAGTCATTTGAATAGAAAAAAATGTAGTAATCATTTAAAATTTTGACCAGGTTCCTGTTGATGATTGGGCTACTACTGCAGATATTCATGCCTTATTTAACGACTTCCACCCCAGAGATGGAAGGCGCACCAGGCAGCCACGGCAAAGTGCAGACAAACCACAATACAACCATCACCTTGCTGAAGAATGAAGATCCATAAGATGATTCCCAGCCTATGTACATGGCAGATCTCCATGCTCACTCTTATCACCAATATCCTCTTTGTTATATCCACCTCTCCATCTCCTAACCCTAGCCACCATGATCTCTTGGCGCTCTTATCCTCAAATCCCACATAACAAGTGATGCACTGTCGTCATGGGATGCAGCAAGCAACGACACCAGCAAACCAGTTCCTAATTTCTGCAAATGGACTGGCGTGACCTGCGGCGACTGTCGCCACCCTGGCCATGTCACTGCCATAGATCTGCATGGCTATGGCCTTGAGGCACCATCTCTCAAGACATCGGCAACCTCACATACCTCCACTTCATTGATCTATCGTCCAATAACCTGGTAGGTGATATTCCCTCCAGCCTTGGCAATTGCAGAAGACTTCGTACTATGAATTTGAGCAGTAACCACTTGTCTGGTTCTGTCCCTACTCCTCTGGGTCACCTATCAAAGCTCAAAATTTTCAATGTCAACAACAACAATCTGACTGGTGAAATTCCCACGACACTATTTAATGTCACAACGCTAATGATCCTTAGAATTGGGGGAAACTCCTTTCAGGGCCAAATCCCCAGCTGGTTGAGCAACCTAACATCATTGACTGATTTGTATCTTGTGAATAACAACTTCAGTGGCAACATCCCTGCAGATTTATGTGTTAAGTAACCTCACAACGTTTGATGTAATGAATAACAAGCTTGACGGCCCTGTTCCTCCATCACTCTTCAATATTTCGTCCATCACTACCTTAGGTCTTGACATGAACCAGCTTACAGGATCACTGCCACTTGATATTGGCTTTAAGCTTCCCAAGCTATATGCTTTGGCCACATATTACAATTACTTTGAGGGTCCAATACCAGCCTCCTTATCAAATGCATCTGAACTCCAATATCTGATTCTTCGTGGAAACCGATATCATGGTTTGATCCCACGGGACATTGGTATTCACGGTAAATTGAAGTTTTTTCGGTAGGCTGCAATGAACTACAAACCACAAAGCCTACGGATTGGGAGTTTATCACATCCTTAACCAACTGTAGCAACTTGAAAAGAATAGACCTCGAAGAAAACAACTTTTCAGGTGTTATGCCGGTTAGTATCGCCAACCTATCTCGAAAACTCGAGTGGCTTACAATTGGCACAAATCACATAGCCGGGACCATATCTTGGGTAGGGATGTTCCAAAACCTTACAAAGCTTACCCTTGAGGATAACCTATTTACAGGCACCTTACCTATAGATATTGGCAAGCTTTCTAGTCTCGATATTCTTGATCTGAGTCATAATGGATTTGAAGGGCAGATTCCACAATCAATAGGCAATGTCACAGTACTGGATAATCTTTCTCTATCTAATAACTTTCTGAACAACAGCATTCCGCCAAGCCTTGGAAAATTATCGAATATTGTATCCATGGATCTTTCTTGTAACCTGTTGACGGGCCAAATCCCACTGGAGATATTTAGTATTCCTTCCCTGACCATACTTCTTAACCTTTCCAGAAATGCTCTAAGTGGGGCAATCCCAACACAGATTGGGCACTTGAAGAGCCTCGGCACAATGGACCTCTCAATGAATAAGCTAGATGGTGAAATCCCAGAGGCTATTGAGGGTTGTGTCCAACTGCGATTCCTATACTTACAAGGAAATCTACTGCAAGAGCAAATCCCAAAAGGGTTGAATACTCTGGGAGTGCTTGAAAAATTGGATCTCTCGAGCAATAACTTAACAGGACCCATACCCAAATTTCTAGAGGGCATTAGATCTCTAAGCTATCTAAACCTGTCCTTCAATAACCTATCTGGTCCTGTGCCAGATGCAGGTGTCTTTTCTAATTCCACTATATTGTCGGTCACAGGTAACACCATGCTATGTGGTGGTCCTCCATTCTTGCAACTCCATTCATGCCCATCTATACCTTCTCACAAGGCTTCACCGCATCGATTGCACATATTTATCTTTGGAGCTATTGGATTATTCATCTTTGTGTATGCTCCGTAACTGCTTATTGCTTTATTAAGAGAAGGACCACATCAACTTTTGTTCATCATGAGCACCTATTCTTTAATGAGGAGCATGAGAGAATATCCTATGCCGAGCTACATAAAGCAACAGGATCATTCTCTCCAGCAAATTTGATTGGTTCTGGAAGCTCTGGCAAAGTGTACTTTGGAAATTTAACTTTTGGTGAGAATTTAGCTACCGTAGCAATCAAGGTTCTTGATCTTGGACAACAAAGAGCCAGTAGAAGCTTTTTAGCTGAGTGTAATGCTCTAAAGAGGATCCACCACCGGAAATTGGTGAAGGTGATCACCGTGCAGTGGCTTCGACCATAATGGTAATGAATTCAAGGCACTTGTCCTAGAATATATTTGCAATGGGAGTTTAGATGACTGGCTGCATCCAGACAAAATGACAAATAGCAAGATCAGAAGAAATCTAAGTTTGATGAAAAGACTCAACATTGCTCTTGACGTTGCAGAGGCATTGGAATATCTTCACGATCATATTGATCCACGGATAGTTCATTGTGACATTAAACCAAGCAACATACTTCTAGATGATGATTTGGTTGGACATGTTACAGACTTCGGTTTAGCAAAGATAATGTCGTCTGAAGCAGGCAGGAAAAACCATCATGAAACTGAAGGCAGCTCATTTGCAGTTAAAGGCACAATTGGATATATCCCCAGGTCAGTAATCAAACGGTTGTTGACGCATATGAATATGTTGCTGTTCTGAAGATTATTTATCTGATAAACTGATAATATTAAATTTTTATGTGATCTAATTATAATGTAGCCAATGAAATTTCCTTTTCTGTATATCCCAGAGTATGGATCAGGATGTGATGTCTCCACGGATGGTGATACATATAGCTACGGGGTACTCCTGTTAGAAATGTTTACTGGAAGAAGGCCAACTGACAGTTTCAACGATGGCGTGCCAAATCTTGTCAGCTTTGTTAAGATGGCTTATCCTATTAATCTACTAGAGATACTTGATGTTACTGCATCATACAGTAGAAACACAGACACCCAAGCTATCCTAGATATTCTCGTTTATCCAATATTTAGAGTTGCTTTAGCATGTTGCAATGACTCACCAAGACAAAGAATGAAGATGCACGACATAGTGGAGGAGTTGAATGCTATAAAAATGGCATGCGCTGTTCAGATGCCGTACTCATAAATTACGGGCTGACACATGAACTAGGCTGGCAATAAGATGGTTCATTTTAGTCTACAAACTTGCTAATATCCCTTGTGAACCTCCAAGTTTGCTAATTTCCTTGTGAACCTCTGATTTGTAAAAGGACTTTTATTGGTGATTCTTAAGTCAAGTATATTGCCACTGATTTTTACTTTACATATGTTTAATTTTTTTTTTAATCGTCTATACCTAAATAAGAATCGATCAACAATAGGCCAATGAAACCAAACTAAAAATACATCGCCAATACTTCCTGCCGATCCATCCATCAGCCACATCAAAAATCTGCTGCAGATCATCAGTCGCACGGCATAAAGAACAGGCCACTAGCGATCCATCCATCAGCAAAACGGAAGAACACTGGCGAACTAACTGCGGAAGCTCTGGAGCCGGCCGCCGTCGCTCTCGGGTGGGATGAGCGGGTGAGGGAGAGTGTGGCCGGTGGCTGATGGCGGTGGTGGCGCCAAAATGCGGATGACGGACGAAGGGGTGCGGGGCTGCGAGCCTGTGTCGAGGCCGCCGTCCGCCTCTAGGTGGGATGAGCGTGAGGGAGAGCCTAAGAGGGTTGAGGGATTGAGAGTTCCAGGCTTATTTACCTATGGTTGCTAGTTGGGCTCCTAATGGGCTGAATCTTTCAGGACCCAAATGGATATCTGCGGGTGAAATTGATGATCCGCACTAAACCCGCTGCATTTCGGGTATCCGAACCCGAAAATTGTGGGCAAAACCTAGACACCAAAACCAAACCCGTGGACCCGAAACTCACGGATATCCGCCTCGAACCCGATCCGCTGCCATCTTATGTCCGCGCCACAAGGTGGTTAATTTTCAGAGATGGTTCTTTTATGAAAACAGCCCGTGGAAACACTCCTCCCCGGTCCTCCGCAAAGTTTCAGAGGTTACTGTGTTAAGTGAACCACTCTTAAAAGTTTTAGAGGTTACTGTGTTAAATGGGTTGCCTGTGGAGATAAGGTGATTCATAGTTAGACGTGGCTAGCAGTTTCAACTGGCCATGAAAAAACTACAGAAATGCTATAAATAGGACGTCCGACGCCAAATACTTCTTCGATGGACGCGCAGAGCGTGACGTGCACCACAACTTTGTCTTTTTCTATTCCCCGCTCATTTCCATGTCTCTTATTCTCATCCGGATGCCGCGCCAAGCACTCCACTCACTATCATGCGGCATTCTCCCACCGTGCCCCTCGACCTGTGTGTCGCCGCGCACACCTCCTCCTCCCACGCCGTCACACGCTTCTACCTGCACCACTCACTCTCCTCGCCTCTCGCTCCTCCTCCCCCGCCGAATCGCCGCTCCCTCTTGTAACGCTGCAAGCGTCCGGCCAGTCGAGCCAAGGCCTGTCATTGCTGGTGCTGGATGGTGGTGGTGCTTGTGCGTCGCTGCTCGCCGCCAGATCCCACCCCGATGACCGAAATCGATCGGCCCCAGCCTTCCCCTCCCCTATGTTGGAAATGTATGTTTCAAGTGTTTCCATGTTTTGAGAGGTATGTTGCAATTGTTACATATGGATGTTGCAAAGTAGATTGGGTTGCACATGTTACATATTTTTGCAAGTGTTTTGAGTGTTATGTTGCAAGCGTTTAAAAAAATGTTTTCAGACATATGTTGTAACAAGTGTTTTATCTGGATGTTGCATATGTTTTACACACATGTTGTAAGTGTTTTATGTGGATGTTGCATATGTTTCACACACATGTTGCAACAGTGTGTTTCTAATGTTTCATCTGTGTCCAACGTATGTTGCATCCAAGTGTTTCACGAGGGCACAGTGAGTGATGGGCTCATGGCCCAGGCGCCGGGGGATGGGGCGTGGCAAAGCTGGGGACCGACAGACGTGGTGCAGCAAGCTGGGGGTGGGCTCCTGAGTCCCGCCCACACGGAGAGAGAAGAAAGGGTCTGAGGGAAGGAGTGGGGCACGGTGACGAGTGTAGGGTGCTCATGCGAGGCGGGGGCGAGCTGAGGTGGATGGGGGCGGGCTTCGTGGCCGTCCATCCGGACGCGAGGAGCAGCGGGCGCAGGTCACCAGCGGTCCCCACGGGCGCGGGCCCCTAGGTGGACGCGTGAAAAGTAGGCACAGGCAGGAGGGCGAACTCCAGGCGCGCGCCGAGGAAACGAATCGGCTCGGTCCATGGTACCGTCCGATGGATCAATATCCGGACGTCTCGAAAAAACTAGACACCTATAGAAAAAGCATTTGTGTAGTAGTGTCTTTCCTCGTGCCTCTGGGCTTTAGTGACAGGCTGAGCAGGTAGAGTTGCAAATTTGCATATGATGCATGCACAATTGGCCGCCTGTGCTCAAAGTGGTTCCAACTTGCCACGTAGCGAGAAAATGGGCTAGCTGCCTCTATGTTTCCAAAGACCATCGCGTGAGTCATAAAAAAATAAAAACCCATCGCGTGTGGCGTGCGCTCCTGACCCTTTCTTCTACCTCGCTAGGTTGCTCCTAGTGGCGCCCAACGGCTAATGGGCATGTTCGCTGGTTGGTGCTGGTGCTGGTGCTGGTTTGGGCTGGCTGGTGCTGGTTTTTTTAGAGAAAAACACTGTTGGCTAGCTGGTTTAGGCTGGCTGAAACCAACCAGCGAACCGGCTGAATGGTTCAAGTGAGATTGCAAAATGGAGCAAGAGAAATCGAGCATGTGGTGTGCTGGACAAAACGAAATCTCGTTGAGCTGGTTCGACGCCACATTTCAAATTGATCCGATTGAACATGTTTTTCAAATAAAATATAGTTGATTTTGGATTACTTTTAATTTTGCCTTGGATCATTAAGCTCAGTCAGCTTGAAGTTGGGTTCCAAACAACAAATATGAACAAATTAATTTCAAAAAAAGTGAGAAAAAACTTACTCATTATCCACCCCTATTGCGGACCTTGGAACAATACTGATGGATAATAGATGGGCCACGAGGTAGCGTCGCTTTTGTGGGCTGAAACGTATAATATGGATTCCCTAGCCCCGCAAGAGAAGTTAGTTAAAGAAGGAAAATGTTCATTTTGTCTCCCCATCTATCACAAAAGTTTGTTTTTCTCCTTAACTCTAAAATTGGAAATAGCTCATCCTCGTCTCTCAAAAGCCTGACACTTAACGCCCATGGTTGTTTACCTTGGTGGTTTTTCTTTCTTTTTTTGTTTATTTTAGTTGAATATTTGAAAAATCATAGTAAGTCAAGAAAAATCATAAAATGGAAAATCCAATGCGGTGGGCTCTAGATGAGTAGATCTATGCAGAGAACATATGATTTGATATGATTTAGTACAATTTTTTTTGTTGTAGCTTTAAATCTATGCTTCTCTGTAATTAATTCATAGCTATAGTTTCTTTGGTCCAATTATCGTGAAATTTTTATGGTGGACTAATAATTTCATGCTTGATATGTAGTAAAAATTTCATGCTCATTGGATCATATATGACTAAGTTATAGAATTATCTAGTTTTATCTATTGATTTATCTAGATAAAACTATAACTCAGTCATACATGATCCAATGAACATGAATTTTTTGCTACACATCTGAAGAATGAAATAATTAGTCCTCCATAAAAAATTGACTTTAATTGGACCACAGAAACTACAGCTATGAATTAATTACAGAGAAGCATAGATCCTAAGCTACAACAAAACTTTGTACTAAAGCACACCATAACATATGTTCACTATGTAAATCTACTGTGTGGAGTCCAACAAAAATTCATGCTCATTGGATCATGTATGACTGAGTTATAGATTAATTTCATTTAAAACTATTTAACAAATATAAACATCGATAAATCTATAACTCACTCGTACATGGTCCAATGAGCATGAAATTTTAACCGCAGCTCAAGCAGTCAATGGTTAGCCCACCGTAAAAATTTCACCACAATTAGACTAGAGAAACTACAGCTATAAATTAATTATAGAAAAAAGCATAGATCTAAAGTTACAGCAAAAACTTTATACTAAAGTGTACTATATCATATGTTCACCATGTACATCTACTAATGTGGAATCCAACACAATTGGATTTTCGATTTTATGTTTTTTCTATGATTTATTAGATTTTTCAAAGATTCAACTGAAATAAACATAAAAGAAAAAAAGAGAACCACCGAGGCAAACAACCATGGGTTCAAGTGTCCGATCTTTTTTTTGTTTTTTGAGAAATGTCAAGTGTCCGGTTTTGAGAGATGAGGAGGAGCTATTTCCGGTTTTAGAGCTGAAGGAAGAAAAGTTGACTTTTTACGATAGTTGAGAGAGATAAAATGGACTTTTTCTGTTAAAGAAAAGAAAAGCTAGGTCAGTCCATGATAGATTGAAACTGGACCATAAAATAAGGGAGGTACCCTGGACATTTGGGCCATGACTAGGCTGTGGACCTAGTTGCCGCGGCTAGGCCCATACCCGCCGCTGACCCTGAAGAAGTGGGAATCGCATTTGCATTAGGTCCGGGAGCACTCGATTTGTTCGTGGACACATTTCTCCATCTGATCGGGGTTTTTTTTTCGAAACTGTCCATCTGATCGTTTTGGTTAGCACGGATCGGATTACCGTGCCTTTGGTTAGATGGATTGGCTGCTGTGTCAGCGTGCGTTTTTTTTTTTGTCGAGTTGGAATTATAGCCGGATCAGTCGGGCCTGCGTAGTCCAGTATATAAACCGAACCTTTGCCACTTCACTGCCAGCCGGGCCGCCACCGCCTCCGCCTCCGCCTAGCAAGAGGAGGCACCATCCAACCTGCCGCGGTCGTCGAGTTCCGGTAATCCGCCAGCATTCCTTCCCCCAAACTCGACGCTCCTCTGTCCCTACTCCCTTGCCTCCTGCTCTCGCCGCGGGTCGCGCGCGCAAGGTGTTCGATGCATTGCCTGTTTTTCCTGCGCTTCGATGCAAGCACGCGCCACCCACGGTGCTCGCGTTTTGCTGCCGGTTTATGAACGCAATGTGTGTCCTCGCTGACGGCTGCTGTTTTTTCCGATCATATTTGCAGGGTCGGATCAACTGATGGCGGATACCACGGGAACGTCGTGGTCGGACATCCCGCTGGACCTCGCCGGCCGGATCCTCCACCGGCTGCCTGCCCATGTTGACCGCGTCCGGTTCGGCGCCGTGTGCCCCCAGTGGCGCGCGACCACGCGGCACGGCCCCCTGCCCCCACCGCTGCCTCTGCTGCTGCTCTCGGATGCTAGGGTGTACAGTCTGCCCGGAAGCGAGCCGTTCCACTTCTCTGGTTTTACGGGGACGGGGTACACCGACGCTTGTGGCGACTGGCTGGTGTTTTCAGGTGAGGAGGGCTGCTTCCTGAGGGATCCTTTCTCCAATGCCACCGTGACACTTCCACCTCTGTCACGTGTCCGAGCTCGGCTTGTGGGCAGGGGCGGTGGAGCAGTTTGGACTCAAGGCCCCCCCTGCTGCCTCCACAGCCATGAAGCGCCGTCCTAAGCGCACAATAACTTTTACTCACTGTGGAACAGATGAAGGAGGGATTTTGAAGGATGAAGATGTTTTGAGCCCCGGAACCTCTTTGATTCTGAAACCACCTATGCATGTGGGTGATGAGTCCGTTAATGTGGCAACCCTAGCATGGATGGAAATGGCTGAAGGTTGCAGTTGGAGGAGGAGCCAAAGAAGTGCAAACTGTGGCTCTGTTCACCCAATTTCATTGTAGCAACAATCAAGTTCACGGGAGGCAAACGGATTGCAGTGTGCCAGGCAGGGGCCACCTCGTGGTGGTCTGTATGTTTCGAAAATCACTGTCCAGACTTTATTGACATGGCATTCCATCAGGGCAAGCTATATGCCCTTGACGTCCATGATTCACTTTTCGTCATCGATGTCAGCATGGAAAACAGTAGCAGCGATCCATGGATTTCTCAAATGCGAAAGGTCATCATCGGTCCATATTTGCACATGCATTTTTCCCTAGGATGTCAAAAGAGGGCCTATCTAGTTGAGTCACGTGGTGTGTTGCTGGTGGTATTGAGAAAGTTGCGCCACCCATCGATAGACCTGAGTTATGCAGCTGAACGTAATGAGTTCGAGGTGTTTGAAGCCGATCTCAGTCAGTCACAGTGGTTTAAGGTGACGGCGATAGGGAACAATGAGGTTTTGTTTCTACGTCGACGATGCAGCAGGTCTGTTGGTGTTTCTCATAATGCTTTGCCAGGGGGCTGCATCTTCTTCCTGGATAATGATGACAAGGATTGCAGTTGGTATGGTGCCTCAAGTTCTTGCTGCGTCTACAGCATGACGAACGGCAAGGTCTCCACCCCTCTGCCAACGGTGTCATGGAAGCCTGGCATTGTGTTTGGGACTTGGCTCTTCCCTCAGAGCTGAAGTGAAGCTGTTGCTGAGCTTGGTGCTAAATTCGTCGAACCAACTTATCTTAGGGCCTTTTACCTGTACGCCATTATAAAAGTTCGAAATGATCTACGTGCCATTGAAATTTTGAAAAGTTCCTCAATACCCTCGTCCGAAGTTTTTTTTATCTACGTGCCACTTTCGTTAGTTTTTCTTGTAACAGCACGCGGAAAAGACGATTTTGCCCTCAGTTATAGAATGCATCAAAATTTTCATTCTTTCCTCAGGTGCCACTGTAACATCCTGTGATTCAAAAAACTTTACTTTTTTCTCTGTACCATTATGAAAAAAATCATGGTAACAGCTTGTACGTGTGCATGTGAAAAACTTTAATAATTATAATAAATTCGAAATGCATCCAACTTCACTTTTTTCTATGTACCATTATGAAAAAAAATCATTTTCGAATTTATTATAATTATTAAAGTTTTTCACATGCACACGTACAAGCTGTTACCATGATTTTCTTCATAATGGTACAGAGAAAAAAGTGAAGTTTTTTTGAATCATAGGAAGTTATAGATGCATTTCGAATTTATTATAATTATTAAAAATTTTCACATGCACACGTACAAGCTGTTACCATGATTTTTTTTATAATAGTAGAGAGAAAAAAGTGAAGTTTTTTGAATCACAGGATGTTACAGTGGCACCTGAGGAAAGAATGAAAATTTTGATGCATTCTATAACTGAGGGCAAAATCGTCTTTTCCGCTTGCTGTTACAAGGAAAACTAACGAAAGTGGCACGTAGGTAAAAGAAACTTCGGGCGAGGGTACTGAGGAACTTTTCAAAATTTCAATGGCACGTAGATCATTTCGAACTTTTATAATGGCGTACAGGTAATTGTCTCCTTATCTTACCCTCGTAGTATGTTTAATGGTCTCTAATAATAACAGAAGATAAGTGTATCAGTACTTGTCTGGTCGAAGAATGGTGTGACTATGTGCTGATTGTGTCATTATCAATCTGTAAACATCTGATGGATCTTTTGGCATTGCTATCTGCTGTTGTGGACCTATTCTGTGAGCTTGGCATCTTAATGGTGTCTCTAGTTGGGGAGATAGTAAGCTTTTTAATTTGATCGATCTTAACCATCATTATGTTGAATCTTCTGTATGTGTTATGAGTTATGACATGAGAGGTTTATAGTGTTGTTTTAGCTTTTCGGGGTGGAATAGCCATGATCCATGTGGAGATCAATAAGGTTTACTTTCAAGGTGGATTGTAACAGAACCGACCAAATCATAAGAACGTAAGTACAAAAACATTCACCGAAGTGATCAAATTCCTGTACTTAAGCTCCCATAATCCCGGTAGTCCGGAAATCATGAAGGATTTCAATCAACTCTCGACATACAAACCAAGACCGTAGTGATTCAACACAACACATCATTCGTTACAACATTTCACAAGTAGCATTCGGATTACATCCATCAGAGTTCAAATAAAATATTACAAACCAAGTTCAAATCCGCGGAAGCAACATAGTTTAGTACATAACTTCATAGTTTCAAATACATTGCCAGATCTTAGTCATGTCCCACAAAAGCATTATCAGGTACGAGAACTAGGAGAGACTGCGCCCAACGGTCTAGTCTTCATCCCCAGCCGGGAGAAGGCAATACTTGCAGCAACCAAAGTAGAACTGGTCACCTGCAACAGGTGGGAGATAAACCCTGAGTACGAGAAGGTACTCAGCTAGACTTACCCGACAAAACCAGAAATAACAGACACCAAGGATCATGCAAGGCTTATGAGGTAGGCTCGCTGGACACAGTTGTATAAAAGAGCTTATGAATATAGTGACCAATTTAAACTTAGCATCAAGCTTATCATCATTTACCTGTCCACTAGATTAGCACATGTACTAGAGCACTCACTTATTAGGAGCAATCAATATTAACCATAGCAGGTATAATAAGGCTGTCATCATCATATCATCATGTCCGAACCATTATGTTATTTAGTGTATCTACTTTGGAGATAAGCCCGTCAAGTTCTCACTAACCGGGAGAGACGGCGACTCGAATCGAATTACAACTCAGCTGAGGGGGTATTCCTAACTCTCACCCTGGCATACTTTGCAAGGGTAGTCGTGTGGGTCACCTTTGGGACAACTCAGGAACCAAATTCACGGGTTCGATCAGCGCCAGCACTCTCAGGGATTACCCTTCTGCCAGAACGATCAGGACTTTTAAATCACCTGCCCTTGGACTCACGCCTACGGCTCCCTTCCGAGGCGCACTTTATACTTATCGACTCCCGGTCTGAGGTGAGCTACTCGGCTTCGTGGTCGGTCTCCAGACCCGGCCAACTAAGAGAGAGGTATGCGTTCAACATGAACAGGAAAATGCTCCAAGATTCAGTCCTTAAGCGACACAGACGGAGTCACTGCAAACCGGCAAGCCTCCGTCTGGTCTTCATTTCAAATTAAGACTGGTTCTTTTCCACGATAGCAAATATAGCCAACTGTGCCATATGTATCTTCCTATATCTCGCAGGTGACAGGAAATCACCTGACTTCTATCGTGTTTAAGCAGGGCTAAGCACTACACGAACCTGAACTACATAGGATTCAGGGTATCAATATCTGGACAAGAATTGGATAATCAATGCAGCAAGTGTTTGCATCCAACACCTAAACTTAATGCAACAATATATATATGCAACAATAATACTTTAACTGTATTTCGGAAATTAGGAGGCTTAATATGCTCCGGGGCTTGCCTTTCACAAAGTTACACGGACGGTGATCTGGGCACTCAACAGCGACCTCGTCTGGCACTTCTCCTGAGGGTTGCATCCTGTGATTCAAAAAACTTTACTTTTTTCTCTGTACCATTATGAAAAAAATCATGGTAACAGCTTGTACGTGTGCATGTCAAAAACTTTAATAATTATAATAAATTCGAAATGCATCCAACTTCACTTTTTTCTATGTACCATTATGAAAAAAATCATTTTCGAATTTATTATAATTATTAAAGTTTTTCACATGCACACGTACAAGCTGTTACCATGATTTTCTTCATAATGGTACAGAGAAAAAAGTGAAGTTTTTTGAATCATAGGAAGTTATAGATGCATTTCGAATTTATTATAATTATTAAAAATTTTCACATGCACACGTACAAGCTGTTACCATGATTTTTTTTATAATAGTAGAGAGAAAAAAGTGAAGTTTTTTGAATCACAGGATGTTACAGTGGCACCTGAGGAAAGAATGAAAATTTTGATGCATTCTATAACTGAGGGCAAAATCGTCTTTTCCGCTTGCTGTTACAAGGAAAACTAACGAAAGTGGCACGTAGGTAAAAGAAACTTCGGGCGAGGGTACTGAGGAACTTTTCAAAATTTCAATGGCACGTAGATCATTTCGAACTTTTATAATGGCGTACAGGTAATTGTCTCCTTATCTTACCCTCGTAGTATGTTTAATGGTCTCTAATAATAACAGAAGATAAGTGTATCAGTACTTGTCTGGTCGAAGAATGGTGTGACTATGTGCTGATTGTGTCATTATCAATCTGTAAACATCTGATGGATCTTTTGGCATTGCTATCTGCTGTTGTGGACCTATTCTGTGAGCTTGGCATCTTAATGGTGTCTCTAGTTGGGGAGATAGTAAGCTTTTTAATTTGATCGATCTTAACCATCATTATGTTGAATCTTCTGTATGTGTTATGAGTTATGACATGAGAGGTTTATAGTGTTGTTTTAGCTTTTCGGGGTGGAATAGCCATGATCCATGTGGAGATCAATAAGGTTTACTTTCAAGGTGGATTGTAACAGAACCGACCAAATCATAAGAACGTAAGTACAAAAACATTCACCGAAGTGATCAAATTCCTGTACTTAAGCTCCCATAATCCCGGTAGTCCGGAAATCATGAAGGATTTCAATCAACTCTCGACATACAAACCAAGACCGTAGTGATTCAACACAACACATCATTCGTTACAACATTTCACAAGTAGCATTCGGATTACATCCATCAGAGTTCAAATAAAATATTACAAACCAAGTTCAAATCCGCGGAAGCAACATAGTTTAGTACATAACTTCATAGTTTCAAATACATTGCCAGATCTTAGTCATGTCCCACAAAAGCATTATCAGGTACGAGAACTAGGAGAGACTGCGCCCAACGGTCTAGTCTTCATCCCCAGCCGGGAGAAGGCAATACTTGCAGCAACCAAAGTAGAACCGGTCACCGCAATGTGGGGAGATAAACCCTGAGTACGAGAAGGTACTCAGCTAGACTTACCCGACAAAACCAGAAATAACAGACACCAAGGATCATGCAAGGCTTATGAGGTAGGCTCGCTGGACACAGTTGTATAAAAGAGCTTATGAATATAGTGACCAATTTAAACTTAGCATCAAGCTTATCATCATTTACCTGTCCACTAGATTAGCACATGTACTAGAGCACTCACTTATTAGGAGCAATCAATATTAACCATAGCAGGTATAATAAGGCTGTCATCATCATATCATCATGTCCGAACCATTATGTTATTTAGTGTATCTACTTTGGAGATAAGCCCGTCAAGTTCTCACTAACCGGGAGAGACGGCGACTCGAATCGAATTACAACTCAGCTGAGGGGTATTCCTAACTCTCACCCCGCATACTTTGCAAGGGTAGTCGTGGTCACCTTTGGGACAACTCAGAACCAAATTCACGGGTTCGATCAACCAAAGACTCTCGTGGATTACCCTTCCGCCAGAACGATCAGACTTTTAAATCACCGCCTGACTCACGCCTCGGCTCCTTCCGAGGCGCACTTTATACTTATCGACTCCCGGCCCGAGGTGAGCTACTCGGCTTCGTGGTCGGTCTCCGCACCCGCCAACTAAGAGAGAGGTATCGCTCAACATGAACAGGAAAATGCTCCAAGATTCAGTCCTGCTTAAGCGACAGACGGAGTCATCGCAAACCCGGCAAGCCTCCGTCTGGTCTTCATTTCAA